CTCACTAACAATTATGTTACATTATGTTCAATGTTTCATTTGGTCTTTTAGAGAATTTATACACGTATATGTATATATACGTTTTTATTTACATGTACTATATTGTATCGGTATAAAAAAATTAAAAAAATAATTTTTTATAATTTTTATTTTAACATTCGCTCAATTGTTTACATAAAAAATTAAAATAAAGCTAAAACAGGAAAAATACATTGAAGCTAAAACTTTAATTATATTTATTGTTTTAAATAGGTTTAAAAGTTATATCGTTTTAAAGTTCTAGAAATTATGTTTCTTCCTAGAGCAATATTTACTTGCTCAAATTCTATTTTAGTCAAATAGTTTCCTATATACCGTGACTTCAATAATGCTTTAAAAAAGATTTAAGTACGGTATTAATACGGTTGAAGTACTTTCTCAGAGCTTTCAATACCTTCACATTGTAAAAAACTGCTACAGCTTTTCGTACATTTTGGAATACAATTTTTACCATATCAATGCAACTTTGACATTTATTTGAAAATTTCAATTTAAAGTGCTGTGCAAATGTTCATTTTTATAAAACGTTACCACATCATTAAAAACTTAGCATTTTTATGTTGCATTTTAGGAAAAAAACTTGATAACTAGAACTTTATTGCTGAAAATATATGCTAGTTTATTTTATCGGTTGTTTCTGGAAACATTTATATGACAGATATAAGAAAAGCGTGCTCGATTTTTTCGATACCCGATTTACTTTTATTTTACGTCTCCTTCAAATAATTCAACTTTTGTTGGATGTTTCTTTTGCATACAAAACAATCCTATACATATTTGGTTAAACTTAAAAAAATAATTTTTTAACTGAAAGGAAAATCTGAAATAAAAACATAGGTACATAAATTCAATTCGAAACACAATAAAAATAAGTAATTTTTGCAATAAAATAATTTTATTTTTTTTTTTGCATTTTTGAATATATAAGTTATTCTTTTTCAAAACATTTCTTTATTTTATTTAAATACATACAATAATAATTTTTAATTTATTTATAATTAAGTAAAAACTAGAAATTTCATAATATAACTGTAAACAAAAAGTAAGATAAAAGAAAACAACTAAAATAAATTTTTATAATATGTAACACAGTATATATTTTTTATATATACGTACACATAAATACATTAATATTCTTTATCGTTTATCATTTTTTCCTTATTTAGTAAGTTTCGTTTGAATTCTTTCAAATCAATTAAAATTTAATATAATATGTAAATTTACGAAATACTAGTACTTCATAATATGTTTTTTAAAAAGAATCAGTTTACGAATGCTGATTTATACTTTATGATACATATTTTGCTTCGAAATGACATTCGCGTTTAAGGAAAAGTCATAATTTTTCTAACTTGACCATTATAATCTTAATTGTAATTTTTTTGTACAAATCATTATTTTTCAGTGAGATTTATAATAGTTCTATAAATAAATTATAAAACTTTAAATATTATTTTTGGAATATACATTCATGTATTAAAAGTAATATGAATGTATATATGATATAATCAACTTAAATTATTTTCATTAGTTCAAATTTACAAATTCAATTTGACGGAAAAATTAATTTCATAAATTTAATTTAACTGTATTAAACATGGCTATGACAACGTTTATTTTAAATTTGTTTTTTAATGTAAAATATAATTTATTGCATACACAAAGTTTTCCAAATCAAATCATAAATAAAAATGAAAAAATTATGAAATATAGAAACATGTATAAGAATTTAATAAAAATGTAAAGAAGTTTAAATCTAATTTAAATATAGAGTACAAAAAAAATTTAACATTTTCGAAGCTTGCTATCACCAAAATTGTCTTAATGGTAATATAAGTTGAAAGTTGGTCAAATTTTTGGATACCATTGAACGTTGGTGTTATCTTCTTTTTTTTCAGTTAATTTTAATGTTTTAATGTATTTGAAGATGTTTTCAAACATTTGAAAAGTTTGTAAACCGTTCGATTTTCATGCAAAATGATCTAAAACAATAAAAGAAATGAAAAGAATTGAATAATTAAATTTTGTAAAGGACTTTTAAGGGATGCATTTAGAATAATTACGATTTTATTTTTGGTTATGATTGATTATGAGCTTTATATCAAATAATTTTTTGATATCTATAATCAAATATTGTATATTTTGATATACAATATATCAAATAAATATCCTTATAAATTTAATCATAGAATACGTACGTAACATATTTCGTATAAACTGTTGTGTATTTTTTAAAAGCTATAAAAACGTTAAAATTTAAAAAATTGACAACAAAATTGTTTTTATTACTATTTTTTTAAATTACAAAATAAATATTCCACAAAGTTTTGTAGTCTAACGTTTTAGCTGACTCAATAAAGACTTTAATATTCCAATAAAATGATTTTTTTATTTTAATTATTAGTTTAAATAAGTTTTTTGAATTTAAGTGCTTTACAGTACGGTTATATTTCATATTAACCACATATTCTTCATTTTATCATAATTTATATAATTATAAAATATTTTTTTTGTATTTAAAATCCTACATACGTACATACGTAAATCTTTTAATGGTATTTAATTTTTATTTTTAATTATGTTTTGAAGCTATGTTTTTTTACGAAAACATGCGTGTGTTTTCGAAAATAAAATATTTTTTCAATGAAATACTTGAAATATTTAAATTTTTGAAACGATTAAATTTTTGTGAATTTTATTTCCAACTTTTTTTATTTTACTTAAATTTTTTTCAATTTACATGCAATACAATAATAATTAATAACATCAATAATAATAATAATGATAATAATAATTAATAATATTTAATAATAATAATAATAATAATAATAATAATAATAATAATAATAATAATAATAATTATAATAATAATAATAATAATAATAATAATAATAATAATAATAATAATAATAATAATAATAATAATAATAATAATAATAATAATAATAATAATAATAATAATAATAATAATAATAATAATAATAATAATAATAATAGTGAAAAAAATATCAATATTTAATTTTAAATTAATTTTTTTGTAAAGTTTTGTACAGATATATTTATTTTGCATAATATACACAATCTAATAAAATAATTTAAATATAATACTAATTGCAAAATTTCAAAAAAAAAGGTCTAAAACTTCTGAATGATTGTTTAATTTGAATTTTAATTTTTATGTTTTCATTAATTTCTTTTAAATTAAAGATAATACATTACATTTTGCAAATTACGAAAACGATTTTTGTTTACTCTTGGAAAATTTCACTACATGAAATATAATTTATTTTTTTTTATTTTTTAATATGTGTAATGGTTTAAATGAATGTCTCTTATTATTATTATCACAGATTGGTTGGTTTTTAAATTTTTTTTTGTATTTCTTTTTTATAGGTTTTATATTTTACATATTTTTCAATATTTTGAAATAATTTAGGTTGTGTTTTATCATTATGTATTATATATTTCTTTGATATATTTCCTTATACAAATTTCAACTGCATTGTTAAAATTTAAAATGAAATGATATATTACATATAACTAAGTATAAATAATAAACGGTTATTTGAGAGAGAAATCAAACTAAATGTTAAAAAAAAACTAAATTAATTAAATAATAATAATGAAATACGTCATACAATTTAAGTCCGACATAATATTGAATAATAGAATATTATTGTACATACATATGTATGTATTTAAAAAGAAAATAGAATGGTGTTTTTGATCACTCTTGCAAAATTGTTAAAAGTTAATATTTTCTAACAGAGATATGTAACTTTATAACAACTCTACTTATGGTGAAAAATTTTTTCACTATATTGGTTGCACGCAAATTGTTTTTTGTTTTTAATTTAATGAAAATCGTTTATCTAGAAATTAATGCATAATTTGTTTGACTTTTATAAAATCTAAGAACAAGAATAGTGTAAATTTGTTTAAAAACAAATGACTTTTCATTTCGTCTTTATTTTCCATAAAACTGTATTACCATTATGAAATTTAGAATGCTTGAAAGTATTATTATTTTTTGAGTAATACAAACTAACATGCAGTATCGATATTGAAAGCGAGTTTTGTTTTAGGAATTTTCAGTTTTAATTTCATTCACATATTTTCTTTTGGTTTTATTTATTTTTTAAGATCATTTTGAAATTTTTTTTGTTAAGTGGACTTTAATAAATTGAATGAATTAATGTGGAAAATAAAATGAAATAAATAAAACTAAATTGAGATTTTAAGCTGTTTTTATATAATCGTTAAATAATAATTATTATATATATATGAACATATATGACGTATTCATTTAACCTTAATATGCACTTAACTACGTTTGCTTGCCAGACATTACATATGAATAGTACATCTCCATTATTTCAAACAACAACATTGTTCTATGATGTTTGTTTTTTCTTTAAAATAATGTTATAAATAATTATTCTTATCAGAACTTAAAATATAACGATTAATTTTTGCTGCGCATGAACTCATGCTTTTGACTTCAATATTTAATTCTTAAAAAAGTAATTCAAATACAAATCATAAGCAAAAAAAAAATGCTTTATAACCGTGAATCTATATTGAAATTGAAAGATTTGTTAATATTACTTTATTTAATCTGTTATTTAAAATAGCTTAGCAAAAATAAAACAAAATTTAGATAAAAACAAAATATGCGCAACATACAAGTTTCTTGTATAGAAAAAAGCTTAATATAATAAAAATATAATTACAAAAAGTACAATTTAGCTACTCAAATTTTTATGAATTTAATAATTTATTAACGGCTATAAGTTGCAAATAAAAAAAAAAGTTAAAAAACCTACATAAGTACAAGATAAAGATTAACTATTTTTTGTTTTTTTATAATAATTTAATTAATTTATTTATTTGTTCTCTTTTGTAGTTTTTTTTAGTGATTTCAGTTGAAATTTTTCTAATATTAAAGATATGAGTTAATTTGCAAGGAAAAGTAGATAAAAACAAACATATTTTAATTTAAATCTTTTGTTTATAAAAGTATATTAATTACAAAAATCAATTTCATAGTTAGTTTTTGGACGCAAAATATTATCTATTTAAAAATAAAGAAAGTATAAATATAAAATAAAATATTTTATTTTAATGCTTTTTAATTTCTTTCTTTTTTACAATTTTACAGTGCTTTTAATTCGAATTTCTTTTTCAATTATTTGTTTTACTCTTAAATACTATATAGGATTAATAAATTACTTTTTATGTAAATATACTTATGTACAAATTTTTGAAAATCTATTTTTAAATTCATTTGTAAGTAAATTTTAAAAACAAGTATGACGTTTATAATGATTAGAATATTTATGTTTCCAATGATGTTACAACTAGGTTATTAAATATTCCATTTGGATTGCAACTACCAGTTTCACTCATCATTGCGGCTTGACCACATGAATCACTTCCACAACTTGGTGTTGGGCTTGGTGTACCTAAACGCAATGCATCCATAATAACTTCAAATTCTTTTTGATTTGGTGAATTTAAATCTAACGCTAATTCTAAATCTAAATCATTTGTTATTAAGTTATTATTAGTATTAATATTATTGCTGTTGTTATTAAAATTATTTGATGATATTATTGATCCATTTGTTGTGGCGGCAGCTGCTGACATTATTGATGATGCAACAACTTGACTACAACAACCAATTGCATATGAATTTGAAACGATGCTGTTGCACACATTAAAACCAAGGCCAATACCAATTCCATAATTAAAACAATTACCAGTAATGCTACTAATATTTGCATTTCCAATTGCACCAAAACCATATATTGATGATATAGATGGTGGCGATAATGTCGATGTTGATGACAATGACAGTTTTGGCCTTTTCAAATCTAAAGGACAATCATCAATAACTGTTGAAATCAATTTTTGTGCTGTAGTAGTTACTGTTGTTGGTAAATAAAAATGTGATAAAGCTTCTCGAACAAAGCGATCATTATCATCTTCACTTCGTAAACGTTTTCTTGACGATACAGCTTTTTCTAAATGCTCGACTCCTTGTGTTATTTCCGGATCAGTTAATGGCATCGTTGCATCAATAGCACTCAATTCACGATCCAATATTTCTAAGTCAGTATCTACACTGTTTGTGCTTTGGCATGATGAAAGAAATTTATTATTGTTATTATTGTTAACATTACCGTTATTATTACGAGTTGTTGATGATGTTTCAAGTATTGATGTTGCTGCTTGTGGTAGTGATGTTGATATTGACGACGAAGGTGCTAATAATTTTGAACATATTGGTAAAATCATTGATGTTGAATTTTCTTTCGCATTCGTTATTGTTGTACTACTATTGCATGTAAATGCGGTCGTTGGGGTCGAAATTGTCGATGTTTGACTGTACGATGATATTAACGCACAATCATTAGGTGTTGATAGAACTGCTGACGGTGATGAAGCTTTTGCAATTGAATTATTATTAGAATAAAATTGACATGACGGTAATGAAGTTGATAATATTTTAAAATCTTCAGTTTTACTATCCGTATGACTTATTGAATGAATGTTACTATAATTTTTGTTTTCAATGCATTTGTTATTGTCATTGACGGTATTACTGATATTCTTATCACTATTATTCACAATATCTCTGCAATCTGCACTATTTTCATTTATTTTGTTGTTATTATTGCTGCTAATGTTAGTGTTGGTATTATCAATATTTTCTCCATTACTTTCACGATTACTCGTACTGTTATCAATATTCTTGTTATTAATAAGAATATTTCCATCATCACTATTGTCGTTACTACTATTATTACAATTCACACTTTTATTGCTATTAAAGTTACTAATGATATTATTGTTAGCGTTAATGCATGGAATTGTTGGCTTTGCTGCCGAATGGACTGATGTTGTAATACATGTTGTTGACGTCTGGTTGCTTATAGAAGATTGATGATATTGTTGTTGTTGATAATGTAAATTATGATAATTTTGTATAGTTGAGCTTGGATACATTTCCATGGGGTCATTTTGATGCTGTAAATTGTTACTATTATAATTGTTATTAGCACTACAACTATGATTACTGTTTATTTGATTATTATTATTTGTGCTAGGTAAATTGCTGGAACATTTATATGAATTAAATGTACTATTATGAGCTGCTTCAGGTTTTGTTTCTGATCTGAAAAGGAAGAAAACAAAAAGTAATTCTTTATATTAATATAACTTCATCTTTATATTAATGTATAAATATTATTTCATTAATTATAAGTGCATTTACAACATATATAGTTTATTAGTGTTTTGATTCTTAGTGCAATAGAAATTTTTACGGCAGGCTTATTGTGACATAGATTTGAATGTGTAAATAAGGTATTGAAACCGATTTTTTTTTTCAATTTCCATCAAATAGATGGGTTGTCTGTAAAAAATTTTTTACATCCATTTTAAACTCTGTATTTTCATTTTTTAATTTTTTTGCCCATATTTTGAACATTTCCAGGGTTTGTTAATCTGCTTATTTCTCTAATATTTTTTCCTGCTATTTTGCCTTTATTTGAAAGACTACTTATTATCTACCTGAATTATTTATATACTAAATAAATTTCTGTTGCCCATATTCTGTTAGTTGCATCCCTTGAGTTGTTATTCAAAAATTTTGTAATTTTCTGAATAAAATTAATTCCAATTAATTTTTGTAAAATATTCGAAATTCTATACTAACAAACAAAATTCCTTTCAATAATATCCCATCACCTAGAAAATTTTCGTATCAAATAACTAATACTTTAGATGTATAATTTTCATGCATAAGTACATTTTTCACATGCACACCAATTTATTAAATATATTTCGGTTTAAAAATTGCTTATTACTTAAACTATTTTTTTATTCTAAGGTTAAGTTAATTAGAAATACCTACTGAACACTGAAATAAGGAGCTAAGTATAGAAATTTCTTTAAATAATCGTAAAATATAGCAAATTATTTTAATTATGTAAATAAAAATTTACAAAATTATTTTGATATTAAAATGAATTACGACAAACAATATTTTAATTTAAAGTGTCAAACTTTAAGACTATTAGAATTATTTCTATAAAATTTCAAAACGATTTCCAAAATTGGTTTGTTGAAATAATATGAGAACGCATGAATACTTGAGTTAACATATTTTTTGAATACATATTTAATATTTACATTATTACGTAGAAATAAAGAGAACCATTGATAAAAAAAAGTACACGCTTATATCTTATACACAATACGATTCGAATAAAACCTACATATAAAACTTACATATAAAATATGTGCGTGTGTGTATAAATAATCATTTAAAAAATAATTATTTGGCAAAACATAAAAATATAAGTTTTGTTTTTTTACATTTAATGCCTTGATTTACAAGAGTTCAAAACAGACGCAAAAAATTACAAAACTTTCACTCACTGCGCAAAGTTGTTTACTTTTTACGCTATTTTTCACTTTGTTGTGTCTGTAAACCATGCCATACCACGTTAATAAGTTTACAAACATGTTCCCTAGAGTTTCTTGGTTTGGTTTTATATGAATACTGTATTCACATGTATTTTATACATATAAAAATATATTGATATTTTATAAAATGTGAGTAAATTTTCTATATTTACATAAAAAAACTGAAACATACTTTACTCTAAATTTAGTTTTATAGGTAAAAAAGCACAGAAAAGCTTTTGGTAAAGAGTAATAGTAAATTTTCAAATCAAGTAAAATAATAATGTATTCAATTTAAAAATTCATAAGAAAATTACCTACTTGGATACGTATTTTTGCGAAAATCAAAGTACAAGCTAGTTGATCAAAATACAAGCTACTTAGTGAGCAATTACTTTTTTTTTATCTTTTTAATCTAAATAAACTATTTTTTATATATAAGCCACCAAGAATTTAGCATTAAAATATTTTTTTAGTCCACTAAAAAGTTTAAATTTTTATTTCATAAAACACTTTTTCTTTAATTTGGAAATAATTAAGATGAAAATTAAATTACTAATGAAAAATTTTATAAGCAATGATTTATTGTAATGATAGCCAGAACCTTATTTAAATTTAAATGATCGGGATACTGGTTCGGATAGCTGCCATACAACTTCGAAATTTATTTGACTATATCTTAGAAACTATGAAAGTTGTGATGTTGAAATATCGTATAAGTAAATTATATTAGTAGGGCCAATGTGTTTGTAAAAATGATTTATTGTAGTAAGTGCCAGAACCCTGTTTAAATTTAACATGATCGGGATACTGGTTCGGGTAGCTGCCATACAACTTCGAAATTTATCTGACTATATCTTAGAAACTATGAAAGTTGTGATGTTGAAATATCGTATAAGTGAATTATATTAGTAGGGTCAATGTGTTTGATAAAAATCGTTGAAATTGCTTGGCTCCTTCTGGTTGCTGCCATACAACTTCAAAAGCTATTTGGCTATATCTCAGAAGCTGTAAAAGCTGTAATATTGAAATTTCGCACAAGTAAATATATAAGTAGGGCCGATGTGTTGTTACATAAAACTTATTGAAATTTCTTGGCTCCTTCTGGTAGCTGCCATACAACTTCAAAAGCTATTTGGCTATATCTCAGAAGCTGTAAAAGCTGTAATATTGAAATTTCGCACAAGTAAATATATAAGTAGGGCCGATGTGTTGTTACATAAAACTTATTGAAATTTCTTGGCTCCTTCTGGTAGCTGCCATACAACTTCAAAAGCTATTTGGCTATATCTCAGAAGCTGTAAAAGCTGTAATATTGAAATTTCGCACAAGTAAATATATAAGTAGGGCCGATGTGTTGTTACATAAAACTTATTGAAATTTCTTGGCTCCTTCTGGTAGCTGCCATACAACTTCAAAAGCTATTTGGCTATATCTCAGAAGCTGTAAAAGCTGTAATATTGAAATTTCGCACAAGTAAATATATAAGTAGGGCCGATGTGTTGTTACATAAAACTTATTGAAATTTCTTGGCTCCTTCTGGTAGCTGCCATACAACTTCAAAAGTTATTGGGCTATATCTCAGAAACTATAGAAGCTGTGATACTAAAATTTTACACAAACGAATATATTAAAAAGTCCAATGTGTTTGATAAATTGCTTAGCTCTTTTTGGTATTTTTTGATTCGTTGTGGTAGCAGCCATACAACTTCAACAGTAGTTTAGCCATATCTTAGAAAATATTGAAAACACAGCACTGAAATTTTGCATAAACTAATATGGTAATACGGCAACTTAAAGTTATAGTCTGTCCAATAGTCGGCTATGGCATATTTATTCGCACATAGGATAACAAATTTGTACGGGTATCACAGAGTTGACACGGTCAACTTTATTTTTTCTTGTTTTTATTTTAAACTTTGTTCCTTTAAAAAAAAAAGGTGAATTATAATATAAAATAGTTTGTCTAATTCACTTTTTGTTTTCATACATTTTTTTTTCTCCTTAAGCGACAATTCAAGTTACGACATAAAATTCTGGAACCCAAAAACATCTCATCTCGAGAACTTAGTGTACGTACATACATACATTATATCTGTATAATCATTTTCACATAATGTGCGTTTTTAATTAATTTGTATTACCTAAATTCCAATAACAAAAATTTTTAAACAAAAATCAATTTGGTGTATCACTTATAGAGAATTTATGCATACATACGTATACATATGTAAGAATAAAAATATAATTCTATTATGTTCCTGCCAATGTGTTACATTTTTTTTATTTGATATCATACGTAATATTCATTGCTATACGTAAGATTTTTAACTTGACAATGTTACTGCTCCTAAGTTTTTGTTTTAATTTTTTATAAATTTAATTACATTGCTAGTTGAAATTTTTCAATTTACATTAAGCACTCAACTATTTTAAAAATAATTAGGTACTCGGATAGTTATAAGAATTAAATTTGATTGTAGTTAAACAGTCAAAAATGAAATGGGTTTAGTAATTATGTGTTCAGATTGCAGACTTTTGAGTTATGGATTTTGATGATGATAAGCTACATTAATCACATGTGTATGTGTTTACGATTTATTTTTGAAATGTTTATTCAAAAAGTTTAAAAAAGAAATGAAAAGTACTTAAAAATTTTAAAATTAACCTTCTAGATACACATAAATGAGTAGCAATGGTGCCTATCTACTTAAATAAGTTTATAAAAAAATATTTACTTACTTTGGTAAATTAGCCAAATAACGGCTTTGTTTTTCACGCCTTAATTCATCTGTTAAACGTGAGTACGTATTATTGATGCAAACACTCCGCCTTAAATTCGCTTCAGAATCTTTAATACGTTCTAATTTATGTGCACACAGTTGTAATATACGTTTTCGTTCTTCCCTTTGCCTTAATTTTGGCGATATCATAGGTACTTTTGAACGATGATGATGATAGCCTATTGGCGGAGATGATCGCGGTGGTCCAAACATATCAGAATCATCATCTGTACCATTAATTGGATATGTTGTTGGTAAAGTCATATTTGAATATAACTTAAAATAATTGTTTATTTTTCAAATATTAAATTTTAAATGATTAATATTCAAATTTTCTTTTTTGCTTTTATAAAATTTACAATTTTTTTAGGAAAGTATGTTTATGTTTGATACGTACGTTTTTTTTAAGTTTTTATTAATTACTTGATAATAAGTTGGTAAGCATATTACTACTTAAGTTTAATTTAATTTTCATTTCTGCAAACCAATTATCAATAAGCTATATGAAATCCACTAAATGTTTATATATATATGTAAGCTTAAAATTTTTTTTGTCTTTTTATTCTGTTAAAATAACACTCAATGAACTTAATTTTTAAGTTAATCACTATAAACATATATATATTTTTAATTTAAAATCACTCACATGATTATTATATTTGGTTTTTATTTTAATAACGTGTTTAATGGATTTAATTATAGTTTTTCTTCAAAAATTCAAAACTAAAATTAAAAAAAAAATAAAATACTTTTATTAGATTATTAATTACTTTTTTTTTTTGTAAAATCAAATTTTTTTTAATATAAATTGGTATGAAAATTAATTTAACGCCACCTTATTTAATTATTGGCATTACTATTATAATATACTGTTAAATATATGTACATAAAAGTACCTATTTATGTATACCAAAATGACGTGGGAAATATAAGATGTACGTACTATATAGATGATTGATTACACAAATTAGATAGGTACCTACTTACTTACATATATACCTACCTACCAAAAACGCAAAATATTCTTTTATACTTACATACTATATTATTTCGAGTCTCATTAATATACATTTTTGACGATTTACATGAGTTTTTATTTATATATCTAAAACAAATTATCCATTTGAATTTATTCATCAAGAAAGAAAAGCGAAAACCCGAAAAATAAATAATATGTATTTATATAGAATATGTATTTCATGTTACACTACATGTACTCAATGTAAAAAATAAACTGCGTATAGGTAAATATTATTTGTATATATAGATATAATGAAATATTTATATTTAAGTATAATATTTAAATTTAATAAGTCAATGATTTTTTGTCTGCTTATAAACAACACATTTATCGATAAACATACATTTTTTATTTAACACTATTCAATTGAATAATAATAAACGCCTGTTATAATTATTTATACTCAGTTACATTATGCATACTGAATATATTATGTCATGCAATTTTTAGTATTAAAGGGCACATTTTGAAGAAACGCTTATGAAAGTACAAAAAGAAAAAGTTATAAAAAACAAAAAACTTTTCTTAACAAAGGAATGTTTTTTAGAATATGTATATATATTTTTTCTATTACATGTATATGAAGTATACATATATATTGTAGATACATAGTAAGCATTTACGTATTTTCAACTTAAATGATAATGTAAACGTAAACGTAGAAAATTTAAACAGTTCCGAATAATTGCATTACTATATATTATCTAAATGAGTACCTTTCCTTTAAAAATAAAATAAGAGAGAATAGTTGAGAGTATTTAAAATTTTATTTTAATGAGGAGTTTAATTCGGTTTAATTTTACTTTGTAGACTATATTTTACTTTTAGACGAAATTATACCAAAACTAGATGAAAATAAATAAAAAAAAAAGCATATCTAAGCTTATTTATAAATGTATATGTATACATTTTAATTCTCGATTATACAGATTTACTCTGTTTTTTTTATAACATTTTCATATTTTTCTCTTAAAAAGTAGATTTGGTATTGTAAATTTGTGACACGTTTTGTTAAAGTAAAATACATAATGTGCATAAAAATACTCAAATATTGTGGAAATTACAAACATTATTACACATGCATGTATAAATTTACGTTTTTGAAATATAGCATACCATGCAAATATTTAAATTATTTTTTAATTTTAAATTGATAATCATTTTATCAATCATAATAATTGTATGTATAGCTATATGGATACATTTGTAAACATTTTTACTTACAATAATTTTTGAGTGCTATTTGAAGTTTATATTTATAAGTTTCAAATATTCATTCATATATAACTTTTTCTCCCTATGAACTCTTTTTTTCTTTCCTGAACTTAAGTGGAAAAAAGGTGTGAAATATAGTATAAGGTTTCAACACATTGAACGATGTAAATCGGCGGAAGTATCCATTATGTATACCTAAGTGTATTTATACACATATGTAAAATATTAAAATTGTATATCTTTACAGTTAGGTATTCCTAATATTAGCGCTATATTTCTACATTATATGGACTACAGATATTGCCCATATATTTTATATACATATGTTAAAATATTTGTAATAATATATTTGACAATAGTGGCAAATATGTAAAAAGAAAGAGTAAATTAGCAAAAATTACAAAGATGTAATAATTTTTGTAAATAAAATTAATAGGTATAAAATAATTGCGTGATACATAACTTGTAAATTTAATACAAAATACGCAATACATTACAATGTAGATATGTAGATAGAAGTATATGTACATCTATCTATTTCTCTACCTATGTATATAAATATCTACCTCGGTGCTCTCTGAACTCTTAATATCTATTTTCTGTATTTTGTATAGCTTAAAACTATAATACTAAAACTATTGTATAGTTTTCTATAAAATATTGAATCGACTCAAAATATTATGTGCATACAAAACACATAATCGCTCAGAAATGCATGCGCGATCTATTTAAGATAAAAACGTTTTTTACACTGATTTACTTAGCCATGTTTTAAGAAAAATTTTGGACCTTTTATTTACGAGTGCTCTTACTTACGTACGTATACATATATTTGTGCATGCATAAATTACTAAAGTCTTTTTTTAAAAGGTTCAGCTTAATATTTTCATGTTAATAAAAAAAATTCATAAATTTTACTTCTTTTTATCAATATCTCTCCTTTGTCAACAAAACTATCTTTTCTCTTAATCAGTTTGTCAAGGTTATTATAAAATTAAGTTAATTTTATTTTATTTGTAGATCTTTTATTGTACGTAGTGTCACCTTATTAAAAATTGCGTTTTTTTATTTTATTTTTTCACTAATAAATTTTTTTTTTGTGCGTGAAAATTGATATACAAATGTAAAAAAATGAATGTGTATTAACTTCTACCAAATATGAATATCGCATTTGTAAACTTCCCACTGTAACTATATATTTGTTTTGTATATACATTATATGTAAGTATCTGTGTATATTTTATTATTGTTACATTTTTTTAATACGACATGTATGCATGTTTGTTAATATGTTGGATATGGAATCGTTTTTATACACTCACACAGTCGTCGAGGAAAATTAGCATTTTTTTATTCATATGTAGCTTATATACAATATATTATACTTATTTATATTTTTTTATATACATATGTATATTATAATATTATATGGGTTTCTCTTTTAATTGTATATTAGTAGTAGTAACTCTATAATATTTATAGCGTTTCCTTTGTATTATTTATGACGAAAAAAAGTAATAAAATTTCAGTGAAATGAAAAATAAGAAAAAAAAATACAAAAACGTCATAAATTTGCGCTCTTGTAGTAACTAATAGGTGACGATTAAATATTGTAATGAGCAAAATAATTGAATAACAAAAAAAAAAAAAGAAAAACAATAAAAATTTGTAAAATTTGTCTTTTCCTTATTTTTAAAATTGTAGATTAATCATAACTAAAATATTGACTTTCATTGAATTTTTTTAGAAAATAAAATATATAATAAAATGAAATAAAAAATTCACTTCGTTAAACATAATTTTTTCATAAATATTTTCATTTTTTCATAATTTTTAAATAACTACATTTAAAATATATACATAAAATATCAAATAAAGGAGAAAATGGAATTTAAAGGTGGAAAATTTATGTACTAAGAGTTTAGATATGTAGGTACATAGGTAATTATGCATAATTAAATATGAAATTTCTTATTTTTGTCACGCGTTATTGAAAACAAATATATACATATATGCTATATATAAGCGAAACATTCATTTTAAAAAGGTATTTACGTTATAAAATTTATATTATCCATATTAAGTAAGGAAGTAATTTTAATTTAAATCATATATATATACATATATATAAAAATTGATTATTTTTTGCTCACTTTTTAATTTGAATTTTATTGTACCTGCATAGCCTATATAAATACCTACTAGAAAATTAGTTAATTAATTTAAATATTAAAAGTTCTATGAATTTCAAGATGGTTACTTAAAAAAACATATTGATATTTTTAAAGTGTTGCTAATTTTAGAATTCCATTAATTTTGATTGACTTTAATCCAACTAGTTGTTTCGATTTCAGTTCCTAGGGACATAATATATACTTCCTTTAATATTCGCCTTTAAAAGTTTTTAAATTTCAAATCTATTATTTTTCGAAGCCTATTAAAATACTTTACAAATAAAGTTAGGTATACCAGTGCAGGTAGGTAGACCTTTTTTGTTGTCATCAGTAATATTTTCTTATTCTCAAATTTTAATCCTTTATTTTAATTTTAAAATTTTTCCTATTATTTATTTTTTATTTATATAATTTTGGTAGATAGTATAATGATTCTTAGAGAATTTGTAAAACTTTTTCAAAATATTAATTTTGAATTAATTTTCTTGCGAATTTTTGCACTTGAATATGTTGATTAGATAATTAGATAAGTAGGTACCTACCCACTCAAATTTTTTTTTTAAATTGAATTTCTTCAATTTTATGTATAGAAAATTTAAAAAAAAAATTTTTTAAACACAATTATAATTAATTTTCTTTTGCTGACTGCTTTTTTTTAATTAACTACAAGTAACTACTAAAATTGAACTTTTATTTAAAATAGATTAACAACCAATGATTGTTTTTAATAATTAGTAATTAATTAAAAAAAAACTTGATATTAACTGGTAATTCACAATTTTATTAAAATCAAAATATGTAATTTTTTTTTTAATTCAATTTATAATTTTTTTTTTCATTTTGTATATTCATCCATAAAATTTAATAACTCATATAAAGAAAAATTACTTTTTTATTAAATATGTCAAGGTATGAAAAGTTGGAAAGATAATATATGTGTTTCTTCTCTTTCTTTATGATTAATTTTTTTAACATAAAAAAAAGTACTTGCTAGTACATATATAAATTAACGGAAAAAATACGTCCACACCGTTCTCACGTTCAAAATGAACTGATTCAAAATTTTCTTACGTTTTTCCTTTTCACGACCAACATTGTTCGGTTGTATTTAACCGACTAGTTTTTATTTTATTATTATTCAATCGAAAAAATAAAAAAGAAAATTATCTTTTATACTTAATACTAATGCAGTGCAAAGCATTGCTAAAATAAAAGCAACAATAAAATCAAATTATATAGTGGATTCATACATATGTATATACAAGTACATTTATTGAGTACCGACTTTTTTAACTGCATACCTCTTTATTATTTTCTATAAAAGAAAACTACGAAATTCTAAAAAAATATTGTTATACCTACATTTTTTACAATACTCAGAGAATCTCATTTCGATTCTCTTATATCATATAAAGTTTTTTAAAATGAGAGAAATTAATATTAAAAAAAAGAGATATTCTAAAATAAGTAAAATTATATCTCAAAATATCTTTCATAAACAGAACGGAATCAAAGCAAATTATATTCTGTTATTATAACATAATATCTGTTAAATATTATTATACGAGTATGCATTATTATGTACTCAAATCAGAAAAGGCAATTTTCAGCTAATTCTTTTACTATTTTCAAATCTGTCGGTAGGACGGATACCTTTTCTTCTAGAAAAACCTGTATTAGGCCAGGTATGTATAAGATCTATAATTTGCAGATATTTCGAAAAATATTACTTATTTAATTAAATATATTTTACTAAAAACTTAGATCAACAGATTTTATTAAAAACTATCGATATCTTTTTTAACTTTTTTTGCTTAATTCAAATTAATGAGATTCTTGTTTTAACTTACATATGTTACATTCATATATACATATTTTTGGGAGAGTAACATGTACATATATTTTACATGGAATAGCCGTATGAAACAGAATTAAAAAATAACCCAAAAATATATAAAGGCGAACTTAGTAGACTTCACAAACTCTCTGCGTCACTTAATGTCCAAGTTTGTATTTTTTGTTATGACAAGTAAAGTTTTATATATATTATGTACCTTGATATATTGTAAAAATTACCCAAAAGTTTTATATAAAGGCAAACTTAGTAATTTTTACAAACTCTCTGTGTCTCTTAATGTCCAAGTTCGTATTTTTGTTCTACCAAGAAAAGTTTTATACGTATATATTATGTACATCAAATATTGTATTAAAATTGTATTAATATTTTCAGGTGTTCCGTTGTATTGAAACTTGAAAACCTTATGGAATATGATGTATACAATGTCGTACGCGAAAGACGAAATGTGTTAGTGAGTAATACTCGTATATTTTGAGCTATTCAACTTCTATCTGGTATACAGTTCTGACCATGGCCTGGCAAACAAATAGTTTGCATTGTTAAATAAATTGTTTTTGTTTCTTTGTTATAAAATTTTTTAGTATATTTTTTGGTAAGTTATAAAAACTGCAAAAATATAATTTTACAATGAATTTTACCAGATTTGAAAATATTTTTTCTGCGTTAACAAAAAAAACAAAACTAAATATTTGGATTGTTTCTTAAATTTTTTGTAATATAATAATTCTTGTTTCATCAGAAAATCGTAAAGCTCTATAATAAATTTTTCTTTTGAAATCCCTTTTATTGTAATAATATTAGTAGACTATTTCGAATGTTATCAATCAAATTTCTTTTTATTATTTTATTATATATAATTAAATACATACTCCTAATAAATATTATGTGTTGAATAATTTTTAATTTAGTTTTTTGTTATAGATACTCCAAAACAAAAAATAATTGTCTATAAGTACAATTATTGGCAAACGTACATACATATATGTATGTATGTACATATGTAGTTAAACATTTCATTTCTCAGAGAAGATTCGCTTTACTCTTTACGACGTCTCACGTCTTGTACATACCTGAACTAAAAACTCTTCGATAAACGTACAAATCCCGTTGACTGTGAATAAAGCTATATTCTCATTCAACGATAGAGCTCTTGCATTCTCTTGACTTTAATAAATTATTGAGTTTATCATTGAATGTTGAGCAATGTTATATACTAAAAAAGAGATTTAGAGACGTGGACATTTAGAGAAGAAAAGAAAAAAAAACTGAATTATTGCCTACTCTTCATGAATATACAAATTCTTATTATATGTTCAATATTTACATACATTTTTAAAAGACCATTACGACAGTACGAATTCTACGTTTATGCTTTACACGACGGCCAGCTAAGCGCTCTTATTGAATGTGCAGACTATAGATACCATATATATGAGGATAGGCAAACAAAAATATACATTCTATAAAGGCAGGTTGCGGTAGTCGGCCTTCAAACACAAACAAAATTTAATGTCTAAGATTGAATGCAATGAATAATACGCTCCTCCATTCACGACTGGTCCCAATTTAACTACCTGGACAGCATCGTTCCAGGCGATTAAGGAATGAGCAAGACATTGATCAAATATTATCAAAAACAAGGATAGCCTTTGGCTCTGACTCATATGGAAGTGAAACCGTATCAATAGACGCCGAATTAAGCTATACATATGTAAGTACAACTTAAAAATTTTTTAAATGAATACAAAAAATAAAATAACATTCAATTCGAAATTATGATGTGTACTTAGACATGCATAGTGTGTATACAGATAAGGCACATGTTTCAAAATTATGTACCAAAAAAAAAGTTTTTTTCCCACATACCGAATTAACTTTCGACTTATAAATAACTTTGCACTGCTAACTTGATTTACTGTTATATATTACATATGTGTATAGAAAGGAGGACGGAAATGCTGGGGATAAGATTGTGTTAAAAGAAAACGCTCTTTGTCTGAAGTTAATATTTTGAAATTCAAAAATTGTTGAACCTGCCTTAGTGTACGCGCCCGTGTTTTCCAAGCTTCAAAGTTTATTGTATGTTCCATTCAATATTGCAGGAAATATATGTAAGCCTTGTTACATTAACATATTATATTATGATTATCGTTATTATAATTTATTCATTATAAGCTACTACATTTCTTTTATTTAGATTATTGATTTCATGGTATTTTCACAATTTCACTTGCAAATATAATTGTAAAAAAAGAAATTTTTTCAATATTCTAAATGGAATTGTGCATAAACACACATATTGGATGCAACGTACATACATATTATGTATGTGCATAATGTACTAAAAAAAATTTTATATGTATGTTTATACCACTTTGGTAAAAAATAAAAGCCAAGAAAAAATAAAAATATTTTTACAAAAACCCCGGTAAACTTCTGGAAATAAAAGCATAATTTACCTATTTATAAGTGCATATATATATACATATATAAGTATACAAAAATATTCATAAAGAAGACAGCTATTGCACATTGACATAAAAGTGTCAATGTTGCACGTCTACATGCATGTACATACCTACATTTTGGGTAACAGGCTTATCCTTTTTCTCGGAAAACAAAAATTTAAAGAAGTCCTCCAAAATTTTCAAATTAATATTAAAAAATTTCTCAATGAGAAATTAATTAAGTTTGAAATATGTATGTACATATACTTATGTATAATAAATAAATAATTGAATGACATATTTAAACTATGGTTCAAGTGGACAATGTTTTAAATATTTTATATTAAACACTTTATATAATATGAACTATTAACTAAATATGAACTACTAACTAAATTTAAATACTTACATATACATAATTATAATAAAAAAACATAAAGAATAAAAAAGAAAAACCGAAACACCAAGAATACACGAGTAATAAAACGCCAGAGAACAAGAAAAATATGCCTAATATATATTTTGGGTGGTCCCCCAAAACAATTACAAACAATAAAAAAGAAATTTAAATGTCTATAAACAAAACCAACAAATACTCATAAAAATTAAAAAAATTAATGTATGATTTTTGGTTGATGTTGTCTTAATTTCTTTGAACATCTTTATTATTTATTATAATAAATATAATAAGTATTTACTTTTTCTTTCAGAAAATTAAGGAAAAACTAAAAATTTCTTTAAAAAATGTTTCCACATCATATATTTTCATTACAAAATCATAACAGATTTCAGCATATTTCAAGATTATAATTAGGAACATTATATTTAATTATTGTCATGGTTTTTTAAATTTACTTTTAAATAATATAAAGTTAAAATGTATAAAATTTTGAAATCGAATTTAATTGGAGATTTCCTAATTTGGATATATGTATGTACATAAGTGACAAATACTTTACAAAGGTTTTAAAATTTACTAATTTTTACATTTGTTGGATATTATTTACATGTGCTTGATATTATGTACTACGCATATGCATTATATATTTAAAGGAAGTTATATTTAATACCTAATTCAAAATATTTAAACCAAAATAAAAATACACATTTTAAGCAAATTAGTTGGCAAACGATAAGTGAGATATAAATTCACACGTAGCGGTCATTATTATAACTAAAAAAATAATAACGTTTTCCTTAAAATCATATTCTCGTCGCATCCCTACAAATACTGCTACCAACGCTCAATTCTTATTATATAAAAGCAACACTCTCCCATTATTAGTGCAACAATAAAATAGTGTGAAGTGCTACTAGGTATAATATTTACCGGCATAATATTTTATATTTATGTATAACATTTAATTTTAATTTAACATAAATTTTAATACTAAATAATATAAATAATATAAGTTAATTAGTGCAAAATTGTTAATTCTTATAATGTAATTTATAAAGTGAATTCTACTAATTGATTTAATATTATAAGAGGTATTCTATACTTCTGAATAAAAAGTTACATGATAATATTTAAAGGAGCCAATACTTAATAACATAATCAAATCACCATGTAGTGGACATAATTTCAGGGATATATCTACACATATTAATGAGCATAAGAAGTTAAACTACACAATTATATGAATATATTTACATACATAAATGATACAAATACAATAATATCAGCGTCAGTTATAATAAATAAATATATACCTGTGCAAGTAAAGCAATATCCAAGTAAAAAAAAATTATGACAAATAAGGTAGTAATAAGTAAAAATTTGGATAAAGAA